TGTGAAACTTTATCCTTCTCAGCTGCTGGGAAGTACAAGTGTCAATTAGACAGAAGCTCCATCACACTTCTGAAAATGTTTTTTCATTATCCTGATTTAGAGTCTAAATATTTGGTTGTAAGTGACACTGCTTAAATGAGAAGTGTCAGTTAATAACTTGCAGTTGCAAATGCTTTTTTTCTTTCTTTTTTTTTTTTTTTTTTTCCTTCTTTCTTTCAGCAAAATCATTGTTGTTGCCAATATCCTGATCATGAAAACATGAATGAATGTGAATGACTGTATGACTGGTAACCTGCAGCAGGGCTGCGTGTCATGGATCTATACATAATGCACTCAGATCACTGCTAGGGAGACCCATTAAAAGAGCATACCACTATATAACAGATCTTATAGACACAGTCACCTTAAATTCTGTGATAGGTGTCCTACACATTTCATGGCCCTGTAGTAGCCACACAGTTTGGTGTTTAATGTCCTAAAATACCTTGATAGCTAGCAAACAACCACAGGTGCTCTATTACGCTTTTATGAGGCTCACATTCAAGGCTGCAAGGTGTTGCTACAAAAACACAGATGAAGTGATGGCTTACTAAATAAGTAGAAAGCAGAGGTGAGATAATGAGTAAAAGGCAATGGATTTGTACAGCAGAACAGTCATCAGTCATCCAAAACTCTCATTGTGTCCAGTGCAGAGTGAAATCACACAGTTAACTCCTCAGCATTGACCCTATCACCTGAGCTGCTTTCCTTTTTCACAGGGAAACATGCACCAAGGTGTTCTATAAAGTACATTGTTGTATTCATGTACCTTTCTTTCTTCTAGGCCTGTGAGATGTTAACATTTTTACTGAAATACAAGAGAACACAATGTGCAGTACATGATACTGTACTCAGGCAAGCTGGGTACACTCAGATGACAGACATTTGTTGCTGGAATAAAAAGAGCTTGAAAAAGAACAACCCACATACCACCCAAGCCATTGATTTCCATGTGAGGGTCCTGCAAAGATCACACAAATTCAAGGACAGATTTGATGTGTTTGTTTCCAAACAACTGCAGGTCAGATGATGTGGGTGACCAGGCAGGAAAGGAGAAAAGAGCGAACAGATAGTTTAGTGCTCTCTGAACTGTGGGTAATGGTTGCCTCTACTTTTGGGGTTAACTGGCAATGTAAGGACAGTGGGAAGAAGAAGATATTGGCTTCCATCCCATTTGCCCAGCAGGGCCCCACTACATCAACACTGGGTTGTAATTAAGTGTGTGCTTCCATGCACCTCAGGGGTACATTTAGAGACTTTCTTCAAGTGTAGGTATTGGAAAGTGACTCATCAGAATCAACATATAAGATTAAAATCTAAGTATTGTTCACCCTTTTCTCTTACCTCACCCCCTTCCTAAAAGTAGGATTTTAAAACCATGTACACAGTTACTCTATGGATTGTGCTTCCACGCCTTCCACCCACTCTATGTAGTTTTATTTGAGTTCTTTTACAAGCTCTGGTTTAATAAATATATTCATAAAATAATTCATCTTACTCCCGGCTCTGCTCCTCCTCTTCCATGCAGATTTCTGTGATGGCACTCCTTCATTTCTCTGGGTTTGGTTCGGTTTGATTTGCTTGTTTTGTTTCCAGAAACCTTCCAGATTCCATGTCTCCTAGTAGAGAATATTATTGGTCTCAGTGCATAGCCTGGCTGAATCAGAAAACTCAGCACAGAAAACCAAGGAAGTAAGATGTCAAAATGCTTAGCCTGAAAGAAAAACAGCAGCATCAACCATCGATTTTCATGTGTCACTTCTTCCTGCTCACTGACATATTCTGATTAAAGGCTTACGAGTATAAACCCAGAAAGACATCATCGACTCTGACAGAATGGCTCAAAACTTACAGAGTAGAAATCAAGACCTCAGTCCAATCTTCATTTGTAGAAAATAGCTCAATATATAGCTTTCCCTAGATAGAAGTAGAATTTATGAGCATATCAAAAAAAAAACAAACAAAAATAACCCCAGGAAGTAATACACTTTGGGGCCTGTATCTACCCCTGTACAGTTCTTTTTCACAGCATCAGGGATGAATTTGTCCCTTCATGTTGGCTGCAATAACTCACAGTATTATTTTATATCATTACTTTTTTTTTTGTTGTTTTCGTTCATGCCAACAAGACCATGAGTGGGTGTCATATAAGATAAATCTCACTAATTTTAAAAAAGAAAAGCTAGTGAACAGGAGGTGATAAATGCTGTGCTGCCTACTCAGGTTCTGTCACATAAGATGTCACTTCTTTATTTTAATTATATTTTCTGCCAACTCACAAAAGCAAGCAATTTGTACTGCATGTGATCCTACCTTTGCTATGGAATGTTTCTGCTTAGCCAATCGCAAAATGCATCTACTTGTTTCTGTCCCAGTTTTTTCCCATATTCATTTTCATGGCTGCTTCCTGATGTTCTATAGAAAGTGTCTCTTCAGGAAATGTTAATACATAAATAACAGCTTGCTCATTGCAAAATGACTCAGACTATTTGCACACGGAATTCATTTTTTTTCAAGGATTAATAAAATACATAGGGAACATAAAAAATCATCTACACTTTAGATACAGTTTAATGCACAATCACAGCTAGCTAGTTTTGATAAAAACTTCTACCAGATTAAAAAATTCAAAGCTAAAAAACTCTGGGATTTAGAACACACTAACAGCAAATCCTTGTCTATTTGCATGGCACACAAGAGTTCTTGTCATCCTAGAGGGTGAACTAAAATGATCTTCTAGCAACACCAGATGTTTGATCAACTGCTAACATCACTGGCAGACAGTCTGAGCACAAGGGCTACCTGTAGCAGAACTGGGCCAATCGACGCATGTCACTGAAACAGCATCATCTGTAAACAGGCCACAGACACAGTGATAAAATCCCACATTTCACCAAAATAAAATTCACTTTGTAAATGGGAAGGTTTAAAAAACAAAACAAAACAAAACTTGCTAATATTAATGAAACCAAAACCTGAGGAACATGAACCAGAACTCAAGCATAACAACTACATGCTGGAAGAGTTTTTAACACAAGGTTCACACCAAATTTAGTGTTCCTGTGAGTGAGGGAGAAGAAACAGTGGCTTTGATCGATTTTATTTGAAGTAACACATCTCAATAATTATTTTCAGTTACAGAATGAGAAGCAATGAAAGAAAATGTTATTATTACCCTACTAAACTGGAAATCATAAACATGAATGAGAGAATGAATTGTAGGATGGAACCTATTCTGATTTAGTGTAGAAAAAGAAGGAACACCACAAGAAGATTGGGTAGCTTAACCACACACACGGAGGGCAATCAGATAGCTGAATTATGCTGCAGACAACTTCAGATGCAAGCTTGGGTAGTTCAACTAAATCAAAACAAGTCAGATCACAGTCTGAATGCAAAATTACATCTCTAAAGTTGTCAGTGTTGTGATTTTTTACTATAACTGTCCAGTCATATTCATAGTATTTCTGATCATGTTCAGCCTTGAACAAAGGAAGAACATACTGCCTTTTCATTTAACCATTTATTTTTCATTAATCACAATAGCCTTATTATGCAAAAAAAATAGATTGAATTAGAGATTGAACATTAAATTGAATTACGTCTCAAGTAAAAATATAGATTCCCTAATAGTTTATCCTTGTCAAATGAAACAACCACCAATTCAGTGATCTCTTCTCTGTGATGGGCTTTCTAGGGACCCTCTGCTCAAGGATAAGTGAAGTTCTCCACTTCTTAAGTGCCTGGAGCATTCCTCTGTAGAAAGAGAAATTTCTGCAATGGCACTCCATTTATCTGTTAAAGTCATGTCATTCAGAATTCCAAAGTTCAACTCAAACTTGACCTCTGCATAGCAGGGAAGCTTAGCGTTTTCAAAACCACAGCTTGACTTGTTTTCCTGGATCCATCTCTGCTGCCAGATCCAGCAGATTACTACTTGTACACCTGCTGAGACAAGTCTAATTTAGGAAAGAATTACTAAGGAACCTCAGCATTTGCTTTCTTGACACCTTAAGGCTCTTCATGGGGAGGGAGCATCTACTTCACATGACTATAAAGCCAGCCCTTTCTCCTTCCATTAGAAAATTTGAATGTCACTTACTTCACAGAACTCTTTAAATACAGTTTACATATATTTATATCAGTCATTCTTATGTCCTTGTTTACATTTACACAATTAAAAATAATGAATATATCACCCATATTAGCTATGTAAAATCTACATTTGCTGTTTACAGTATAGCGTGTAAGCACTAAGTTAACAATATTTTCACATATCATTTGTATTTCCCTGAAGAAAACTTACTTTTTACTGTGGAGTTATTCTCAGTCTTTTCTAAGTATAAATAAATCTTCTTGGGCTGTAAATTCTCTGTTTGCATGAGGCAAACATTGGGACTATGCATAACTGTGAGCTGCTTTGCAGATATACCTTCTCACCAGAGGGGATGTGGTTTCTTTGTCTCCCAAGAATATTGCGTTTAGTAACATACAGAGCTTTTATTTTCCCCTTCTCTGTTTGGATTTGGAGGCCCTTTCTTGCCATTTGGCTCACAGTGTGGCAAGCAGGGGGTTTTCTGGGGGGATTTTTCTGACTTTACAGCTCTTTTGATCACACTTCTATACTATTATTCTTCACTTTAAATAGCCTTCATGCAGTTCACACAGCCACAATATTCTGCAAAGCTGTATATCACAGAGAATATTCTGTATTAACATCTTACCCAACATGCAACCTCCATTTCCTTTTGGATCTCTGTAGGAATTCCTCTTGAAGCAATGCCATGGATGACAGGCTTGCTATCAGAAACCTTTGAGTACCCTTCATCAGTGTAAGAGGTTTATACATAGCTTAATTGTACATAGCTCTCTGCTGCAGTAAGTACTTGTTACATGAACATGTCGGCATTGTGTGCAACGTGAAGGTGATCTTTATTTCAGGATCTGTAGAAGCTTCAGGAAGTCAGTGTGAAGTAGAAACATATTTACTTTTATGTGCGAGGAAAACACCCCAATGTTTGTCATGAACCAAGAGTTTCATGGTATGTCAGAAAGTCTCTATGAAGTACATATTCTCCAGGCTTCTACCAGTTACTCAGTACATGACTCTGAAATGGCTCACTCCTCCCAGAAGCATTTGTAGGGTATAAAAACTAATTATCTATACTTTCTGTGAGTTAGAGTCTTCATCAGGGCAAGTCCTTTCAGACAGAAGTAGTAATTTATTTTCACCTTGGAAAGCCGGTGAAAGGCCTCGTGAAACAGCTCTTCTGCAAGTCAGATACCGGTTACGTTGTGGCTCACACAAGTCAAACACGGGAGGTCGGGCACTTCCAGCAGCCTGTTGACAGTAACATAGAGTGCAGTGCAGTTAGGAACCCTTCCTGAGCATGTACTCCAGCTCCTGTCTTGGTCTGGGCTCCAAGCTTCCTCAGCTCCACTGCTAATGAGACACCAGCCAAGTTAACAGATCTGATTTGACAGCCGGAAAGACTTCGAGCTCATAAACTGTCTGTAATGCCATTACTGCATGATCAGAAATTACAGCCTAGTATATTACAGAGCACCAAAATGGTGCCTTTTACCTCAGGCTCTCAATAGCAGCAATTCAGCAAGTGATTAATGAGCATCTCAATCATCTCACCAGAGACCTCTGGGGGGAAGGTAGTGAAGGAAAGCACGCAGTTGGACTAGGTAGTATTATTGCTTTCTAAAGACAAACCTGTTCTACTCATTAATTAGAAACCTGGGGTTCCTTCAACTCCTCGTCTACATGCATGGAACCATACACAGGATTAAAACGGTCTCACATATTGAGGTGATGCGAGTCTCTCTCTGTTTTTGGTTTGTTTGGGTTTTTTTTAAGTTCTCAATCAAACAAATGATGACAGTCATATTATATGTTCTGAAGAGAGGTGCCCCAGAAAAAGGGAAAACAGTCAAAGTTCAGAACCTGGAACAACCATGCCCTTCCTCTTCAATGGCAAAAATACCAAAATGAAAGGAGGCAAAGGAAAGATCTGACCCAGCACCCAAAATGAAAACATATTTTTGCCACGTATACAACTACATGCATACTATAGGCCAGATCTTTTCCTAAACAGAGCTGTGATGGGAATGAGACAGACGGCCTCATGACACTTTCTGTGAAATCCATTCTAGCACAGATGAAGCCTAGTAGAGAAGCCACCACACTTCATGGTATGGAGGATTTTACTGTCACCATGAGGAGAATGTCCATTTCCTGCTCAGCAGTAGTCAGGAGGACCACTGTAAGATATACAGTGTGTACCCTGAGGAAACACAGCTTGGGGCCAGTGTATTATCCTAGTTTATTCTCTTCTACAGTCCTACAGGTCAATGAGGACTCTAACTGGGCAAGTGAAAAAAAAATTCTCACATAGAATAAATATTCCCCCACCTTTGTATATGAAGACTTCGTTATCATTCTTCTCTGCTACCTGCCTATCTTGTTTGTCTGAACTAAAATTAGAGGAGCAAATGGAAGTGGGGTTCTGCGGAACTGTAGCATCTTCAGGACAGAATAGGCAAGGCAGTAAAGTGCCTAGCACAAGAACTGGTCAGAGGCCAGCACTGCTATATGGTAGGAAATTATCTAATTTTTACATCCTGAATAAGAAAAATTAAATCAAAATGTTAATATTGCCCCAGAAAGACATATATTTTCAAGCAACCCATTTCATTTCAAAGGCATGGTCCTATTTTTTCAAAAGATATACATTTATTTGTGATTTCGCTTTCTCTGTTCTGTAAAGTAAACATTCTTACCACACAACTTCTAAAATGAATTTTCAATAATATAGCAATATTGAATGAGAACAAGAATATTGAATAAAAACATTGAATATGTTGATATCCTAACTGGTAATCATTACAGAAAGGGGTCATTCTCAGTGATGTGGCAACTGCTACTTGGACTACTTATTCAGTTGATATAGCAGCCAGTGGAATACATTTTTAGAACTCAAAACCCATAGCTGGCCGTTTTCTGTTAAATTTTCTTAGACTTGTATTGATAAAAATACAATATAATTCTAAAAAAAAAAAAAAAAAAGCAGCTGGTAAGGCCTTTTAGTTTTAGTTTAAATTACTTAGGCAATCAACACACTCCAGTGAAGCATTCTGAGCCTGTAAGATTCATTTTTTTCAACAGAAATTATGTACAACATGATTACATATCATATCTATCTTACATAATGTATAAGCTACATGTAAAGTATGAGGAACAATGGATTTACTCAAATCCAACAGAATTTCTCTAAAATTTAGTGGTCTAAACCAGGGCCCAATGTCTGTACCAGAATATCTCAAAAAGGCACTACCTGCAAATGAGTCAAATACCTGCTCTTTTTTAAGATAACAAGCAGGTCCTTTGAGCTGTTTCTTGAGGCAGGCTTCCCAGCTGTTCTGGAAGACCTAGTTAGGGAACAAATCAGATGACTGGGAATGTATATAGATATTTGGACATTCATTCACACCAGAGCTTGGAGTCAATAAAGACTTACTTGAGACTCATTCACATTGTTCACCATTTCACTGTTCTCATTCATCTGTCTGTTCTCTTCGCTGTCTTGTCTATTTAACATCATTACAAGCTGTGAACTTGTAGCACATACCTAAAAGAGTTTTACAAGACTGCTTCTTGTGTTTCTTTCTCTTTCTGTTTTACCAATCTTCTAATAATTTCTCATATTGATAAGGGAAGTTAACAGAGTGAAATTTTCTATATGGGGTCAGATGCTCTTTGAGGTAAATTAATGCATTTCCCAGCCCAACTGAAAACACTGTTTCTAATAAAAATACTGATATTTTATTAAAAAAAAAGTCACTGAGAGTGCAAATTTTAACTATACCTTATTTAGGAGCAGGGTATCAGTCTAAAGCTGGGTTTGTTAAGTTAGCTAAACGTAGGGAAAGGACGGGGAACTTCCACCGAATCTTCTGATAAATGAGAGAAAGTCAGTAAAAGTGGTCCAAGCCCTATTTCCAAGCAGTTTCAGGGAAATTTATACCTAATCCTTCTTCAAATTTTATGATTTCTCAGGTTCCTTTTCTATCTGGCATTTCTAAAGGTCCTTTAGCAATAAAATTTCCAAAAATCACATTTTCTAATGAGAATCTTCCTTTAAAAAGAAACATCTGTCAATAGTTTTGCAGGGGAATTGGGATTTGGAGACTATGGTCCTATTTCTGCTCCTTCCTGCTGCTCACTGGATGACTTTACATAAGTCACAGCACGTCTATTACCTCAGATACCCCTTTTTGTCTTCCCATACTAAACTGTGCTGTCATTGTGGCAAGGACTGTGACATACAACCCATTTCTATGGTGCCTCACACAATGAGAACTTGATCACAGCTGGGGTCCACAGAGACAACGTGGCAACACACAGAACAAAAGAGACCCTAAGTATGGGGGAAGAGCAGCAGAGCGAACTGTGCCTATGTTCTTGGGTATCTTATTCTAATTTTCCACTAGAAATACAATAGAAACAGACTTAGAAAAGTGTCAGTGTCTTTATCTCAACTCCAAGCAGTACTTTCTAAGCACAAGTCTCTGCCAGATGTACTAAGACATTTCTGGCTGGATCTGCAATGAGTTCACTGTGAAGGAAAATAAGAGCAAGCTCTTAATTTGCATGAAAGAATCAGGTTCCTCAAGATCACTGTTTCACTTATGCCAAGGACACAAGGAGGGATATCTGAAAAAAAACCTCTTAGAGATGGAAAATATTTCACCCGACTCGCCAAAGTCACCTGCTAACAGGAACAGACTTATTGACAGATGTTAGTGGGGCCTCATCCACAGGGCTTCAGCTGTCTAAGTGATCTCAAGAAGAGGAGATGTACAAAAACACACATGCAACAAGTTGGCAGCAAGGCAAATGGAACCATAGAACCATGCTATCAGTAGCAGGAAGGAAGGAACTTCCCATGATTACTGCTTTTCTAAGAAATATTAGATAATACCAATTAGATCATGTGAAACATTGCAAGATACAGGAGGTGTCTTTGCGTACATCTAGTCCTGTTTATGGAACAAAGTCTCATGGCCTCATTTCTAGCTCCCAGCATACCTGAAATATCATGAATGCAAAGTGTTTTCCTTCTAACTTGTATTTAAACAATTGTATAAACACATCAGAATTTGTTCAGTCTTCTCAGATAAAAAGGTCAGCTTTGACTGACGTGAGATGCCTGATGTGACAAGTAGAGCCCATGGTTATAACACCACCAATAATATGCACCTTTATATTACTTGAATTGTCTTTTGACAGACTTAGTTAATTTATATACTAGATGTCACATACCTCAACTAAGTGACCCCTCTATTGCAATTATCTTGCTCCAGCACATTAAAAAATACCTTTAGGAGCAGTGCAATGAAACAGATTTGGAGATAATACTTCTCTTGTGTCACTATTTCCATTATTAGAAACACTTAAAGTCCCATATGGGTTGTTTTCTGCCAGTGAATCACCTCAGCCATCTTCAAGTGCTGTCAAGTATCAGGAGAGGAATAACAATACCACAATACAGACACGTGTTACAAAAAAAGTTAACCAGCTTTTCTGACATGAACCCAAGATTCACATGCAGAAATGTACATGTGCTTAAGTACTTTTATTTCTGGCCAAAACTACCACAGTTCTGCACCCACAAGTATTTTAGTTTCATGAACCACAGGAGGCTTACTTTTTTAATTATAGATTCACATGTCCTAACATGAATGCGTTTTCCACCAAAGCCAGATCTATTTCTTTATAATTTGACTGCATAAACCACAATAACATTTTTCCGAGATAAAAGTAAAGGCATTTCTCAGAAATCCACAGTTGTTTCTCAAAATTTCCTACATTATACACTGGTATATTGTATAAAGTAATTGCTAAAAAGCATAGAACAATGCATCGGTGTTTCACATACCAGTGTTTCCTAGCTGAAAGAATTACTTACAAAAAAAACATAAACATCTTTGCCTAGAGATAAGACTTCTAATTTTATTGGCCATATATATAGAAAAGCAGCCCAGCAACCTTGATAGTCATTGAATGTAAGGCCTTGATTGAGAAGCAGTGAGCACAGGCAACTTTATTTCACACCTATAGTTAATTGCAGCATACTTAAAATATTTTTAAAACACTTCCGTATGTGTAACTGTTGGTAAACATATTTTTATTGAGAAGTCCCCCTTAAATTACAAAGTAACAGCAATTTGTTTTCATTTAATTGACAGCAAGATATCAGAGGCTTAAAATACACAATGGAAGATGTCCAATAATGAGACCTTTGAAAATAAGCTTTAGCAATCTGGAAAGAACAAGCTGGATCTGTCAGTGTGCAAGCCTGTATTGTTCCAGCCACATGAAATCCTACCTTACCATTCAGCTAGAACTAGGATTCCAAAGAGGGGATGTACATCCCATCTGTGGAAAAAAAAAAAAAAAAAAAAAAAAAAACAACAACAAACCACAAAACAAAACAAAACCAACAAACTTCCCAGATACTTTGCCTTTCTTCTTCACCCCATGGTGGAAAGGAAGACTCATCTATTTGCATTGAGGCCTGCATGCAGTTCAGCAGAGGAACTGCATTTCCTCATGAGAAGATATAAGGGTTGGAAGACCATTTCTTCCCGAGGTCAAGCACACCACAGCTTCCTCACAGGAGGTCTCTCTGTGATCCAGTGTAATTCTCTCTCTGGAGATGGTGCCTAAGTAAGTGAAGCTAATCTTGAGGTCTTTTTCTATAGAGAAAAAATATATCCTTTTTTAATGGTGGAGATAATTTTAATGGTTCTCCAGACAGGAGAATGGCGTTCAGCCTACCAATGCCAAAGATCAGAGCTTCCACCTCTTGCACACCTCTTTCCCTCACCACTTCTATAAAATACACACCCATTACCACAAAGAAGGTGAGAGACAATTAAGAGGAAAAGACCAAACAGGCACCTGCTTCTCCCCAGAGATGGTTCTGGCTGTTTGTCAACCAAGGAGTCCTTCCGTTTCACAAAGCTTGGAGTTGTTTCCTGACCACAGCCCTACTGCATCTTGGGGCAAAGCCCCCGAGCACATCAGCTTCTCCTCCTCTGACCCGCGCTTCCACACAACCCTCCTGCTCAGGTTTCCCTGCCAAAGAGAAACAAGGACCCAGCTCACCCAGACAGGCTGCTGGCTGAGGACAGCAGAAACCCCAGCACTGCACACCTCATACCAGCACAGGCCCCACTGACCCACTGCTGCCTGCTGTTGTCCTCTGCGCTGTGCTATGTTCCCCTTTTCCTCTTCAACATAATTTGGTTTTAAGATTATCTGTTCTATGCTAGCCATTGAATCCTGATGGGATAAGCTGCAAACCAGTTAGAACAGCTGGTTTGACTTGCAGGGACTACTTACAAGGAGTGAAAATTACGCAGTCTTATGCACAACAGGTAAAGGCACAAGAATTATAATCTAAAAAGAGGTACTGGAGGAGACCTGAAAGGGAACAGAGATATCCATAGGTAGCAATCTCAGTTAGGATATTCCAATTTTGCATTTTTGACAGATTAAATAAATTTGGCAGTTCCTTGCTGAAATCAGAAGAAACTAATTAAAATGTAATGGGAGCAATGACAGGAAGTTAGTTAATATATATCTGAGTATCTGCTTTGGAAACGCGATCTTTGAATACATCACCTAAAATATCTCTCATGAATTCGAGTAACTGTGCAAAAACAGCTAAAAAACAAAGCCTAACTTAGTCATCAAACCACAGCTTTTCAGCAGCCAGGAAAAAGCTTCTCTAAATTGGTATTTTGTGTATATTTCAATGAAAGTTAGACACCCACGTGCCAGTATATGTGCAAGATGAGATGACAGTTTTAAAGGTAACATCAAATCATCAATACTGTGAATCTTCCTAAACCTTACTAGTAGTTCTGTCACTATCGTACCAGGTGGAATAGGACTAATCCAGCCTCTGTCTGAATAATACTGGGGGTCCTGCAGGTAACAGAATGAAGAAGTACTCCCAGACATGCAGAGGCAGAGGTGAATGTGGAGGTGAGAGCTGTTCGTCTGTGAGGGGCACTGTGGTGGTTGATAAATTCAGCTGACCCAGAGACATTCACCCAGGCAGACCCCAAACCATTCTGTTCCTTTCCTTCTTTGACACTGGGAAGACAGGTGGCCCCATTCACTTTTAGGACATTTTTCCAGCAATGTTCAATGTCAAGGTGGCAATGACTTGACTTTACTCAGGTACGTGACTCCTTCCTAAAATATCAACATCAGAAAGAGGGGATAGAAAGCAGAGACAGCAACAGGGTTGCAGGTGAGCACACAGATATGCAGCTTTAAAAAAGCTCAGGAAAAAAAAAAAAAAGACCAGCTTTATCTCCCTAGAACAACATTACACACATACAAGCATTGCTTTAAACTCCTTCTGTCTCTACTTACTGTCTCTCACACCACTAGTGCTATCCAGTATCTTGCACCTGAAATAAATTGTGGTAGTTTTACACCTCAAGAAAGAAGCTAAGAAAGGGAATTCCATATGTACACCATGTTGTTATAGAAACAAACTTTCCTTACAGTGCCCCTTCCACTCTCCAGATCCAACTGCTTTTTCGATCAACAGAATAAAAATAATAACAAAAATCCCCAAAAGTTTACTGATCAACAGCCAACTCATTATCACATCTTGTTTTTACCATTTCCATCAGACCGTGAGGTGAAAGCACTAAGCACTGGAGTTTTAAAATATCCTTAAGTTGTTTCTGTACCAGTAACAAAGGTTTGCTATTGATTCAATTTTGTTATGGATTGCTAATTTACAGGCTAGTTTAATAGAAACAATAGAACGTAATACACAGTGGTGACAGGACCTTGTTTGTCCAAGATAGCTTGCACTGCTGCAACCTTAAGTGGTGTATTATGGTGTTATTTATGTTCTCTTAAGTGGAAATTAGTCTGCCTAGAAATGTGGAACATTCACACTAGCATGTTACCAATGCTTCCTCTCAGAGAGGTGATAAAGGCAATCTACAAGATAATGAAGATGCTATACTAAAACATGGGATGGTCAGATCTGAGAAGTTGTTCAGTAAGTTCAAATGTCAGCAGGGAAAGATAAGAGGTTGCAACAAAGCAAGATGGGTAAATGAGATGTGTAATTTGGACAGTAATAAAGGGACAACAGGGACTGTAGCGCTATGAACAGAGCTTCAGCACCAATATTAAAGAAACACTCTCTGGGCCACAGGAAACAAAAATGAGATGAAATTGAAGACAGCAGAAGCAGCAGAGCATGGGACATCATATAATTGCAAGATCTTCTAGGTGTCTTTCTCCTTCAAAGAAAAGGTAATTTTATTCTGCTGCCCTGTGTTCGGAACTTCTATACTGTGTAATAGCGATTTTGTCATGGTGACCAATTAAATGCATCAAATTGGATCTCAATTACCCATTCATTCCCTTACTCTCCTGATGCAAGATGAATACATCAGGTACAGAGAAAATGGCTACCCCAAAAAATGGGCTCACTGAGGAAGCTCTTCACCAGGCAACATTCACTACTGGGATGCCAAACAATACATCTTCCACTGATTCAGATCCTCCTTACCCACTATCACTGATGGCAGATGAAAGAGCAAGTAGGGAGGAAGCTCTACTGCTAGCCAAAGACACAAAGTTGCAGCAAAACATACTAAAAAGTATACCAAAGACCCTTCAAGCAAACAATCAAACAAAACCACCCTGATGATATCACCAGATTAGATTACATCAGTGCTGTAGTCCCTTTTGGTATCTCACTTGTTTAGGTTATGAACAGATGTCTGCCATCCCACATCTACATACACATCTAAGACCTGATTCTTTCTGTGGGGCTGCCCCTCTCTCTTCCCACAGTAATTACAGAGGGAGATTGAAGCATCTCAGCTCTGAATGGAAGTGTCTCAGTCAAGTTTCATGGTTTAGGAGGGATGAACTGTATATTCTTTGGGCTATAAACTTCCCCCCCACACACACACACACACACAGGCACAATCCTCACACAATCAATGGCTGACTTTTAGGGTCTACCACAGTATGAACAAAAGGTGACACAATTAGAATCAGCTCTCATATAGCTGGAACACAATTGACAATGTAGATTATATGATACCTGGGCAGAGATTATGGAAATTGGTGCTATTTTGTTATGATTTTTCTGGACTCAAGCCAACATTAAAGAAATCAAGACATGCACATAAACCAAGAAGCTTAGTCCCAGTTGCCATTCTCTGCATGAATTTAATCCACTACCACATGATAAAACAGTGTCCACAGTAATCCCACATAGAAACAAAATCTCATTTCAAAATTTTAAAAAACCACAACTTTTTCATAACTCTTCTAAATGTAAAATCTTTTTGTTATTTCTTTCAAAATTCAATCTCAGTATTGGATCTTTACATTTTTTGAGGTTCTAATGTTTTATTGACAGGTCATATCAGTCAGGAAAATTTTTACCCTGGGAATACGTCCACCAGTTCTCTGAGTCATTGCAGTTTTCCTCATACACTGTAGTGGTATGTAACCATTTCCAATCACCAGTGTTCTTCTGAACTGACATATTATCTGAAGAACATATTCTTGTCATCATCTATGTATGTGTGCATTGGCCTGGGAATAATAATGCAGATGCAAAAGCAGTTGTACATGTATTCCCACTAATCCATGACTTGACATTACAGTATTAATTCTGCTTTTAGTAAAGGGGAAGTTCCTAAATCCTGACCCTGAATGGGAGGAATCTCATATGAGGAAAATAGAATTATTTGCAGGAAACGCATATTTACTTACCAATACCAATAAATGTGCTTTCTTGCACTATCCTATATTGTGCCTTCCCATTAGAATCAAGGAAACACATATGTAGAATATCCACTATATTCAAGAATCAGTAGTCAGTTGGTATCTTTATCCAAACCTAAAGAAAAACAAAAGGATTTGATAGCATCCATGGAAATAATTGAAATGCTTCTAAAAAGGCAAGATCTACTGCTGTTCTACTGAATGCATTCATGCACCTTAAAATACATATGACAGTTTTAGTTGGTGTCCGTATCTCCCAGTCATTAGATAGTGCTGTGAGAAGTCTGCATTATTTGTAGATATAGGGAGAGTTTCAAATGCCAGTCCTAAAAGATCACAGAGGATGTGAGAATATGAACAGAAGCAACAAGAGATATCATCAAGTCTCCTTATGTCCTCTTTCTACCAGGCATTTGGCAAACAATGGCAAGACATTCACAAGGAGAGGTCATTAGATTGTGTTTGTCCTATAGCAGTATCCTGTAGTGAGTTGAGACAACTGCTGACATCATTCATATGACATGCAAATCCCTCACTGGACATTGATTTTTCCCCTATTCTGATTCTCTACCAAATACAGAATTAATTTCTAATATTTTACATAGGAAGAAAAGAGAGAATGAAAGAGAAAAAGATATGCTCAGCTGAGTGGTAGATGCAATATATTGAAGCTTTGCCAAAATCAGGGCATGCTAGCACAAAACATTTGGCATAGCCAATAAAACTGAGTGCAGGGATCCCAGGAAAGTAAAACTTCAAATTTCGTATTTTATTAAGGGAAGCCTTTATTGAAAAAAATAAAAACTACTTACAGAGGTAGTCCAAAACATTATTAGTTACAGCTTATAGAATGTTCTCTTTACTGATAAACATCTGCAAGAGCAGAATTACCCTGAGCTATACAACAGAGCACACAGGCATGGTGTGTCCACCTAGTGTTCTAATACATCTGGGGGCTGATTAATCTCACCAGGTACAAAAAGGTTGTGAAGTTGCATCTATATTGTTCACAATTCTCTAGGTGCTGCCAGGGCCCTCATCACAGCAGTTTCCCATGGCCGAAACATGTTTTCCCAACCAATCAAACTAGAGGAACAGACACAGCACTTCTGGTTTTCAGTATTAACATACAAAATAAACAATGTTGGTTTGTTCACTATTTGCACAGATGGTGAACCTGTTCCTTTGAACTCAGTAGCAGTTTTACTATAATCCTGAGAAGAAGCAAATACAGAACAAAGAAGAAACAGGCCAGTATGAATATTTGCTGGTCTCATCACTTGTTAGGAAAAGAAGAAACATATTTAAAGAAGAAAAAAAAAAGAGTTTGTGAATGTGGAGCATAAAAAATGCAAGATGTTTTGCTCATTGATACTGCATTCTGTCTTTAGAGTTAGCTACCACAGCTAGTTGACTCTATTTGTTATCAACAGTTAGTTTTTTAGAACTTAGCAAAATCCTAAGGAAAAAAGCAAAAAACAATCAGACATCATGATATGTCTAATGATAGGAAGCCAGATGGAAAAGAGTTATGATAACAAGCATCTTATAATTTCATTACAAAGAACAAACTCTCTGTTGAATGCTCGTTCTCCTTAATCAAACAGACTCTCATGAATCAAACAGGCTCAGGAACAGCAATTGAATGTCATCAAACCTTTCCTTTCTAATTCTCATAGACAGTCAGATCATTTTTCAAAGTCTCTTAAAATAAAGCTTTTGGTTCTCAGGAAAGTTCTTGGCAGTAATTTGGGCTGATGATAAACAAGCCTCCACTAACTACATTTAAAGACAGAAGAAAAGTCTTCACATCCTAAATTAGATGTGCTTAAATGGGATGAAGGAACATAGTAATAAAAACACAACCACTACGCTATTTCTTTCTTACAAATGGGTTCCCAACACAGTTTCTTTGTATGCAGAAGCTTGTTGACCTTCTACGTAGAAACTAGTAGGTGAGTCAGTTTTTAATTATCTATGAAAGTCTCATCAACAGTTTTGTTTCATTCCAGAAAAAGCTATGCTTGAACTGAATACATCCAACTTGAGAAGAAACACCACAAAAACTTACTTTTTGCATTGACATCTCATTACACTCACATCCAGAATAAGAATAACCAGCACTCTGACTTCTCATTCCACCTGGAAAGAATTAATTTATCTGCTCTCTGTGGAGTTATGACTGGCAAAAGAAACACCACTGACAAAACAGTCTTTAAGAGCCCTTCAATACACAAGGGCCTCCTGTAGCAGAAGGAAAATAGTAATGGACCATATGAAGAAATTCAGTTCACCTTTGGGCTTGTCTGAAATCTTACCAGTGTGAAGTATTCATAGTCATAAAAATAGATTTTACTGAGACATTTGACTTTCTGTGATCTTCCTAAATATCTAAAAAGAAGGGAAGCTGACACTACATATGGCAAATTAAACTGTCAGTGCAGTATAGTCTTGTTTTCATAGCTAAAGAAAACAAAAAGCTAATCTTTTTTACACCTGAGCAAACCACTATGAGAACAAGACAGGCAAGTTTTATGATAAGGTAAATCAACAAAGGGTAGCCCCAGGTAGAATACAAGTTGTGAGACCTATTTGCTTCCTGTGCACAGGAATTTGGAGAAGGTGAAAGAACAGTCAGAGGGGACTCAGTGAAAGCACTATTGCCCCCTTCAGACCAATAGCATATAAATTTATACCATGTTTTATTTTAGTCCTGTCAAAATCCATAAACTAACAAAGTTCAGTCAGCTTTGGCTTCTAGGCTTTAAAGCCTATCACAAATCAAGCCTAGATGAAATCTTGCAGCCAGGTTTCAAATGCTGCATTCCATGAGGCAACACATTACCCAGCCCCTGGAGACAAAGCCATCATGGCCATATATTGGCAGAATTGATCAGTCTCAGCCTCATGTATAACAAACTTCAGTATCATTCTAGGAAACATGATGATACAGCTTAGCTTACAGCCCATACTAATGTTGGCAAAATTTTAATGGAAAAGGAAGAATTAATTAGCACTAGCTTCTGCCTCACAGTTATACATGGTTATACAAATGCCTCACAGTTATACATGGTTATACAAAGTCCACCTGTATTCTATAACATGACTAGGATAACATAATGATGTAGGAGTCTCATTCCCAACTTAACCTAGGACAGTCATGCAAGGCCTTTGTTTATTTAGCAAATGCCCAGGCTAAGATGAAAATGTATAACCAGAAAGAGGAAACTTTTTCTACAGGATTCAGAGGATGATATTTAGAGGATAAATAGGTAGGGACATCTACTTATCTACTTAACTGTCAGTTTTAACACAGACTGAACATGAACAATGACCAAGACCCTCAGAGAAGCCATGGGAGGTAAAAGAAGTCATGCTCATCTCTTGGTCAGTATACTTCTTTTTCACATTTACTGTTGACCTATTCTGCAGCAACTACCTTGCACTTGCACCAGTGCTCTGATAACTAAGTTGACACAGCAAAGCAAAAAGTTCACAGATTTCTGACATTTATTTTGTACCTGCTCTTTGAATACAGTAGCTGAAATTCTGCATGCCTGAAACTAAGATTCAAATATCCCATGCAGTTTATAGGTACACAAAATCCAAGTCATAATCTGGCCCTCAAAAAGCATTAAGTAGTCTCCAAAGCAGAACTCCTTTATATAACCCATTTAAATTGAATGAGACATATTACTGGAGAACATAACATAGAACAAACTTGTGTCCTGACTGGGTTGGGGAGGAAGGAAGGAAGAAAAGCGAATGTCCCAGTTAGCAAGAATGCAAAATGTTTTGCAGTTACAAATAAATTTGGCATTTTGTGAACAAAAATAAGAAATGCCCAGGGGAATGAAGGGGAGGCACAGATTCAAACAGTGCCCCAGTAGAGAGAAGGCAGTGGCTGTCACACAACTTGCATGAAGGGCACACCATACCCCAGTGAATTACAGCATAATGTGTTTTGTTTCTGCTCAGCACACTTCACTTGCCCTTCATGAAAACAAAAAAAGCACTGCTCAGTCCATCACTGGAAGCCAATGAAAACAGGCAAAAGTTGAATCCTGTCATCCGTGTGAAGATGCATTACATGACAAACATCCACAAGTAATAAATTTGTAATGCAAAAAGGAATCATAATTCAAGGCCTGCCCCAGCATATTTCAGGTTAGAGTTTGAAACTGTCAGAAAGCCAATGGTTCAAAATTTTTCAATGCAGACAAAACCAATTTTGAAATGGGGTCATATGTATAGACAAGGCTGAGATGATGTGCTGCTCAGCTGTAAGTAGCACCTTTCACCTTTGTTTCAGAGATTTAATGGGAGTGGAAGATGAAGAGCAAATGCATGAAGAGGGATCTGTGAATGAAACTAGAAAGAATGAATAAAGGTTAGCTGTGACATTCTTCTCAGGTTAAGACCTTATTCAAAGGCAAAGTAGTGTGGTGTCGAACAAAATGTTCTGGGCTGAAAGACAGGCAAAATACTGGCTGTGGCTTGCTGTGCAAGCATCATGCACTAACCTGCAGCGTCTTTTGATCAACAGAGGGATCATCTCAAGTGAAATGACTTTCAAAAGAAAATCACAAAACATACAGAACACTTCCATAATTGCCCTTCTTATCCATATGAAAACACTATGATCAGGAAGAGCATAAAGCACAAAATAAAAAGTTTTTCAGCATTTTGCAAAACCATTAATATTTATTCTGATCAGAAATTAGTACAAGAAAAACTAGAAGGTGTAATGGCAACTTATATAAAAAGGATAGATGCAAGCTCCTCTAATCTCCCATTAAACACTGCCCTAACAGCAAGGTCGCTGAGACATCTCCAATTGAATTGAAATTGGAGATTCATAAAAAGTGCCTTCTCTAGAGTGATTACTAGTTTTAGAAAGTTTTCTATTTTTAGTGCAGATAATATTTCATAATATTGATTATATTTTATTATGCATTATTATATAGTATATATTATATAATATTGTATATATTCAGAATATAATGATTCTGTAAAGAGTTCTTGAAGAGAACCCAATGATCTGATGACTTTTACTCTTCATGACTAGAAAATGTTCATTGCTTACAGATCTTTTGAGCAACAGAAAAAGGAGAT